TAGTCATCTATGCAAAAGCAAAGAATATTATCTCAGTACTGTATTGGAATAAGGTATTGGTGAGGGAGTCTTGTATCATTACCCACTTACATAGGACTTCTTGGTATGCATACTGAAGATGAAATGGTTAACTTGGGAATTGTGCAATAACATATTTTAGGATTGCATGTTTTATTCTTTTTTTAAAAAATATTTTTTTAATTTTTATTAAACATTTATGCAGTTAAAAACATACATACATACATACATACATACATACATACATATATATATATATATATGTATGTATGTATGTATGTATGTATGTAGGTCTAGGTGTGTTCGGGTCTTTTCCCGTGTAAGATTAAGAGTATCTTGGCGACGTTTCGGCGAGGTCCCACTCGCCATCCTCAGGCTGGTGCTCTTTGCTTGCACTGGCACGAAGCCGAAAGCACCAGCCTGAGGATGGCGAGTGGGACCTCGCCGAAACGTCGCCAAGATACTCTTAATCTTACACGGGAAAAGACCTGAACACACCTAGACCTACATACCTGTACCCATGAAAATCTACGAATATGTGTGTGTGTGTGTGTGTGTGTTTTCTCCCGCATAAAATTGGAAGTATCTTGGCAACGTTTCGACGAAATCTCATTCGTCATCTTCAGGCTTGTGTCTTTGGCTTTGTGCTTCTTGGAGTAATGTGAGCTTGCAGAGAAGCAAGAGAAGCCAAAGTGAGCTTACTCCAAGAAGCACAAAGTGAGCTTACTCTGAGAAGCACAAAGCCGAAGACACAAGCCTGAAGATGACGAATGAGATTTCGTCGAAATGTTGCCAAGATACTTCCAATTTTACGTGGGAGAAAACCCAAATAACCAAAGATCCCCATACAAATACCCACGAAAACCTCAGAAAACATATATATCTATTTAAATTAATAAATCTCTATATCTTACAATTTTATCACAGTGCAGAACATTTGGATGTATAACTGCTTCCGTTGTTGATAACCACAATGGGACTTTAGGATAATGGTTCTTTTTTATTTTTTCCCAGGTATTTAACAGAACATTTTTTGTACAGTGCCCTTGAAAATATGAGTGTTGCTTACTCTTCCCATCCCAGGTAAACGCGTGCAAGCAAGTTGGAGATCAAAACCCTCTAATGTTAAAATCCTTCTATTTGTCAAATTAACCTAATCTTTGAGCCATGTAGCTATAGCGGCCTGATAGTATAATTCAAATTCTGGGAGACTGAAGCCTCCTTTCTTTCTAGCATCCTGTAATAATTTACACTTTACTCTGGCTTTTTTCTTCAGCCATATAAATTTAGAAGTTTGTTTGTTTAGTTCTTCAAATAAATTTTTTCCCAACTTGACTGGCACCGTCTGGAACAGGAATAGCAGCTTTGGTAGGACATTCATCTTTATTATTGCAATCCGGCCTAAAAGGGACAGTTGAATTGTGGCCCAGTTGTCTAGATCCTTCGATATTTGTGTTATTAATTTGTCATAGTTATCCTTTTTGATTAAGGAGCACCTGGCTGTCAATCAAATCCCAAGATATTTTACTTTGCATGTTTTATTCTTATACATTTGCAATCTTGATTCCATTTAGTCAACACAGCGAGCAGTGAAAACCTCCAGCATTTCAAAGGATTGTAAAATAAGTTATGAGAAAAAAGAAGTTATGAGACTATTCATGCCTACTGTTTTCATTTGTAAACGGGTATTTGATATGTAAAGTCAGAAAGTTAAGTATCCAGGATGAGAATCGGGGTTATTGACATTGTAAAATATAAATAATACTACAGAAACATTGGGAGAGGGAAAGTGAGCAGTGATCTCATCCAGGAAGCACTTTAGGGCAGAAATTCAGAACTTCCCTGAACAATATCAGCAAGAGAGTTGCCTCAAAGAATACAAGGATAATTTTACAAATTTTGGAGTCATTCATGTGACCATCTAAAGTAAGAGTACGGGCTAAGATTTGTACATGGGCTTTGAATAGATAAGTGGCAGGCTGCTTTCAGAAAAGTAGGAGATGGATGTGGGCAAAACCAATTGTTCTTATACTTCATTTATATTAAACTAAAGCTATATATCATTAATACGCTTACTCTCCAGGCATGCAATATCCCTTTAATCATAATTATTTGGTAGTAATTATTTTGATTGTCTCTGAGTGTCACATCCAGAGCTTTTCATGGTTGCATGCAGTGAGAGCCCTAATATGGTAGAATCTCCAGCAAGATTGGGGGAAGGAATGAAAAGATTGGTAAACTAGGAGTCTTTGCCAAGACGGCAGCAAAAGAGGCCAATCACCACCATCACCACCTCCAGAATTCCGGAAGTCTGGTAATGTGAAATGAAGAAGCTTCTGAATATTTCTAATCTGAAATGGAAGCTGCCCTAGCTTGCTACCTGCAATGTAACCAGGGTATTCATAGGCATCAGAGGAAAGATTGCTAGCCAGGGATCCAGCAGGACAAAGACAAAGTGGACATTTTAAAAAGCAAGACACAAATAATAAAGAGAGAGATTAAAAAAAGGACTTCAACAATGTCCTTTATTGGAACTGAGAGGAAAAAGTATTTTGTCTGAGATTTAGAGTAGTTCTGGAAGAGCAGACTATAGAAAGAAGGAAATTATGATGTAATTTCAGAGGGGGAGCGAAATATAAATGGATTTATAATTGCTGTTAAGAACATTGGAAGCCGCTTCTTTGCCATTTTTTTTATTTTTCTTTCTTTCATATTCTCATTTCCTTTCTTATCTATTCACTATTTTTCTGTTTTATTTCTTTTCTAACACTTCTCTTGTTTTTCTTTTGTTAAAAATCTCTTTAATAAAATTATTTTTTAAAAAAAGAAAGGCGACTTTGCTGAAACTCCAAATTTCCTTATACAATATACCATAAAATATTTTCAGGGTGTTTTTTTTAAAAAAAAAAACCATGTTCACTAAATATTAAAAACTAGGTGGACAGTATTAATGCTGGCATTCTCAATTAAGCATCCGTCCTTAACTGAGTCACCAGATATTTTTCACGTCATAATTAAGCTTCATTTTAAAGAAAAGCAGATATCTAAATATTTGGCCCAAGTACCATCTTATGGAAATAATAAATGAAAGCAAGTGTTCAAAAAAAAAAAATTTCATCCTCAAAATATTTCAAAGCCACATCAGTCTCTCAGTTATCTAAGACAAATTAGTTTGACAGCAGTATAGAGACTTGGCATCTGAGTTTTCTTTATAGCCTATTATGATTTAATGCAGGCATAAAATATTGCTCAGACAGTACAGTTAGTCTGAAATTGAGAAATCTAAGTGTTTTGAAACATCTTTTTATGAGACCAGCTTTCAGTTTAGCAACAGAGAGGTTCAATGCAATGCCGTTTTAAAATTCTTTAAAAAGCCTTTTTTTTCATCTCAGCTAAGTTTTGTTTTGAATGTAAATTTTGAGTTACTTTTGTCAAAAGGAAATAAACACAGAAAAAAAGTGGTGAAAGAAGGCCACAAGTCAAAATGCAGTAATTGGAGGAAAATTAAAACATATTGCAGAATTAACAGAAAAGCATAGTGTATCACATTCTGCTAAGCAAAAATGAAGAAAGAAAAAACAACAACCCTGGAACAATTTAAGTGTTTGCTCAATATTTAGATCCTCTATGTTTGTAAATGTATTTCCATATTTTTTTAGTCATTCACCTCTTTATCTTTAAACTTTGCTGTATTTCAGAAATTTCTATATGCTGCTCAACCTACATTTACTACCGTCTGTAAATTATTTTGTTATGCTTTTATAATCTTCCTGCACTGCCCCTAGAATCACCCCAAAAAGGACGAAAGGCGTATCTTATCACTTGAAGTGTAAAATTGAAATGCTAACCAACTCTTTAGAACAATTTTTAATTCCAGAAAATGCAAATTGGCAACATGAGATCTTCCCAAGCAGTCAGAGAAAAGTGGAATTTAGTTTCCTTTAAAAAAAATCTACAGTGATTTTACCATTGAGTCTGTCAAACTATAGGTAGTCCTTGACTTATGACCACAACTGAGCCCCACAAATGCTGATGACATGACCCTGGGACACTGCAAACATCATAAAAATGAGTGAATTGTCAAGCATCTGATTTTGTAGATACCTGCAATGGTTATAAGTGTGAAAAAAGGTCATAAGTCACTTTTCTCAGTGCCGTCGTAAAAGAATTACCTGTATACATAGCATAGTTTATAAAATTCATGAGAATTTGTTTCCCCTCTCACATTTTGGATCCAGTTATGGCCAATATCCATTGTGGCTGAGAATTTGGGGGATTTTGGTTCTAGTTTTGGAGATGGTTGGTTTAGCTGGACAATAGAAACGCCATGTTTTTATTTACATTGTGATGATACTTTCTCACAAGGGAGGAGCTTTTCTTTGGCCATCTGCCATAAATAAGTCAAGACAGCAAGAAAGATATAAGGGAAGTTATTGGACCAAGTGTGGTTGTACTTGGAGAAAACAACTCATTGCTCCATTCATCAGTAGCACCTGAGGTCTCTGATATGGTGACACATTAACTACACAACAGGTTGCCAGTCTCCTGGTGCCCATAATCTAACACCATGTTCTCCCTTTTAGCAAGGCCAACCCTAAAGGAAAAAGAGAAGCTGGACTTTGGAATGTTTGATCTCTTCTGGAATTAGGTTAAGGTTTAGTAAATAGATAAAAGGGGGGTGTCAGAGAAATGGACTAAAAGGAAAGGAGCCTGGCTATTATGATAGTAATCATATAGCCATTTTGAATAAAAATTAGGTTACCAAAAAAATGAAAGTTGTCGGAAAAATAGATTAAAAGGTAAGGTGCCTTGCTTAATAATAGTCGTTTTGAACAAAAATGGGGAAATGCCTTATCACCCTTCTCATTTGGGATGGGAAGGATTTTCTTGTTATTTGCAGGATTATGGCAAAGAATTATTGGATTTGTTTTGTCCTTTTAGCTACAGATCACAGAACACACATAGTCTCATGCTTATGGGATTGGGAGAGTTGGAAATCTATATGTCTTTTGGAAACTTCTTCTGAAAGGTGTGCTGACTTTGCCTTTTAAGATACTTATCTTAGTATCTCTTCAAAGATTTTGTATGGTTTTCCCATTGTCCTAACATTGCCATTTATCTAAATTGGCTAGGAAAATGTTTTTTTCATGATGAACCTTTGCATATGGTCTGTATCAGCCCAATTATGCATGTCTTCCAGTTGAAAGTAATGGCAGTTTTAAATAGTATTGTATTTAACATTGCTTGCTGGAAGAAATTAAAAATGAAAGCTGATGAATTTTTAAAAATTTTGTGTATATATTTCAGGCTTTTGGACTGCTCATCTTCCTTACTATTACCTTCCTTCTTTCTTTCCTTCCTCCCTCCCTCCCTCTCTCTCTCCCTTCCCTTCCCTTCCTCCCTCCCTCTCTCCCTTCTCTCCCTTCCTCCCTCTCTCCTTTCCCTCCTTCCTCCCTCCCTCCCTTCCTTCCTTCCCTCCTTCCTTCCTGCTATAATTGAGATCCATTCCATACCACATTTTAATATACTGGCAGTATTTGCTTTATTGATATGATTTCTCCATTAGAATTAATTGATTTGAATTTCTGAACTGACTAGAAGAATTTAGGGGAACAAAAGAATGCAGCACATATAGATTTAATGGATTTGGAATAGCAACTTCTATCTTGGATTCAGCTCTGAAAGGTAAATATTGACTGTAACAAAATACACTTTACTTATCTTATCCAGGGTGGGAGTGGGGAGAGGAAGGTACAATTACAAAATTTAGTTAGAGGATAGCATGAATACTAAATAGCATCCCTGATTGGTTTTACAGTAGAATCTTTCCGACTGCTGTGCCTATGATTTTCTTCTCTTCCTAGTTATATAGATAAGGTTGGATCTAGCTATCATTATAAACCCACACTTGATTATCACAATCTGTGCAGCTGGCTTTCCCTCCGCCGCCGCCCCCCACCAACAGATTTTCTTGAAAAGAGGGCATTGCGGATGAGGTTACTGTTGTGGCAAAAAATGCTTAAAATTATGTGATGCTTTAAAGTTACACAGATCCTTGTCCATTTCCACTCAATGTGAGGAAGAAGTTTGTCCACCCGACATGACTTTAACGTAGAAGCAGATCCTGAGCAGGAGGAGAGTGCCATTACTAAATTACCAAATGGAGCAAGCAAGAGAAAGGGGAAAATAAGAGGATGGGAACTTGACGTCTGGAACATTCCACCCCACCTCCAGTGACCTTCAACCCTCCTTGTTCTGTATTAGCAGGCTTGTAGGCCTGCATTCCTATTGGTCCGGAAGAGCCGGGCCGTGATTGGACGTTGTAAAGCACTCCTGATTGGCTTGTATAGGGGTTGCCACGATTGGGCAAAACCAAGCGCGGCAAGCTCAAAAACCTGTCATTGGCTGCCTAGCCGCGGCCAGCTCTATAAAAAGAGCTGCCGCGGCTAGGGCTGTTGTCTCAGAATCTGGCTACCAATAAAGAGCTGTTGTTCACTACTCATGCCTCGCCTATTCTTGGGACCCACCGACCGAACTTAACACTCCTAACGTTCAGCAAGAGCTTAACGATCTGGTTTTGCCAGTTGGCTTGGAGCTCCAATAGGAAGGGGCAGTCTCATTGGGGTTGGTTGACAAACTAATAATGGATTCCACCTCCCTCCCATCCTTGCTCATCCTACATCCTTTTACCTAAGGTTAAGTATTTATCTTTTCGTTTATTTAGTTCATATTGCCGTATAGGTTTTGTAAATTTTTATCTTTTTTTTTAATACTGTAAACTTCTCAGAGTTACCTTGTGGTAAGATGGGCAGCCAATAAATGTAATAAATAAATAACCAACATTTTCTTTTTCGCACCAGATCTGTATCCTTCTAAACCATTTCCTTGGAGAAAAAGTTGATGTGTGTGTGTGGGGGGGGGGAATCCTTTTAAAATAGATTTATTATCTTGCTATTGTAGAAAGTTAGCACCCGCCCCTCTCCCAGAAGAATGAAATATTCCAGGAAATATTAAAAAGGCAGAATATTTCCTCTAAAAGAGAGATAGAAATCTTAAGGGACACAGAAACTCAGCCCCAGCAGATATTTTGGTGCCAGCTTATCCACAAGACAAAAATCCTTCAGCTCCAGGGTGATAGGATTAGCCCTCATTCAAAATCCAAACCAGGACTAAGCCATTAAGCCATAAAAAGGAATTGCCCAAAGCCCCTTCATTACATCACCCAGCAGGATTCAACCAAGCCTGGGACTCAAGACAACCTACAAAGTTACCCCTGCATGGCCCCATGGGAGTCTGACAACCCAATCATGATAACATTTCTTGCCACAGGAACAGGAAGCAAGTTTAAAGCCCAACAGAGGGTATAAATCTCCCTCTCTCACCCATGTAGACAAACAAATAGGGAAAGGAAGTCATTTAAAGAAGGGAGTGAAGGAGATTCACATAAACACGGAACAAAATTTTACAAAGTGAAAGCAGAATCCCATTTAAAAATAAATGACAAAATAAATATCCTGCTATTAAAAAGAAGTCTATGGAGCTTATAATTTTTTTTTCTGCATTCAAATAAGACTTGGGACCAAAATTTTCATTAGCAGTACAGTCATAGCTCTTAATTAGAATTCCAGAAGCATATTAAATGGTATTTGGTTCTACCTCAATGCATCATTTTTCTGTTAAATAATTGATCACAGCATGGAGATTATGTTTGTGGAATTTAAGAAAGTGATTAGGCCAAAGAACATTTTGGAAAGGGAGAGGAAAGAGAATTGCATCAAGTATTCTCGCCCAACACAAGTATTATCTCAGCATGAGCCAGTGAAGAGTGTTTCCAATGGATCTCAAGGATTGCCAAAATGACCAGAAAGGCTGATCCCTCAGGGCTTATTTCTAACATTGTCTCAGTGTCTCTGAACACTTTGTGTGTAAAACTCAGAACAAATTTAAGATTCACAACCAACTAGACGAATATGGTATGTGGAAGGACAAAGGTACAGGGAAGTGGATTGTCTGTTGAGGGAATGATACTTACAAATCCATAGCAGTTAGACACATTTCAGGACACAGAATACCAGATGCCACTCTTATTGGGGTGACATTTCTGAATATCCCATCAAATGGAATTCAGATCCCCTCCATAGTTCCTAGCCATCTTATACAAAACTGCACACACTGTCTTTTATGGAGAAGGTTGTTTTTTTCTTTTTCTCTTTCTCTTTTAATTACCCTGTATAACATTTTAGCCAATTGCTTAAAGAATCAGATTAAAATTGGAATCTGACCCCTAATTTATTATCATTAGAATTTATAAAGATTTTTCTCTCCCTACTTATTATATAATGCAAGAAAAGATGGTTGTATTCTAGAATACTTTTAATTCACTGTAATGTTTTGTGACCTTTCTTGTTTAATTTTTGTTAAGTTTGGAGAATAATGGAGACCAGACATCTGACCAGTGACTTCAACTCTTTAATAACAGTAATATAGAACAGAACAGAGCAAAAACTATGGGCAGCAGTAGCCCCTTTTATAGGGTTGGCTGCTACCCTATTAACCAATACTAGTGCATCAAGTTCAACTAATAACCAATAAGAAGTGTCCTAAGTTTAGCCAATCCTTGTTCGTTGTTTAAGGACCAATCAAATGTGCAGGCTTCCAAAACCTGCTTTGCATTTAGGCTTAGTAATTTTTATTCATTCACAACAATTTTAGTGCTGTTTTCATTCTATATTTAATCAATTCTCTCTCTCTCTCTCTCTCTCTCTCTCTCTCTCTCTCTCTCTCTCTCACTCTCTCTCTCTCTCTCTCTTGCTCTTGCTCTCTCTCTCACACACACACACACATCATTACACTGGTGTTACGAGAATTTGTTTTACTCTATATTGTCAGAAGAGAACATAGCCCCTGTATTAATTCCATAAACCTTCATACATAAATTACATTAAATGTAATTTAATTACATTAAATTACAATTACATCAGTCTCCTACTTCAGCTACTTCTAGGAGGCCTAATAACTGTGAATAATGCACAAAATATTCAAACAGGAGAATATACTGGCTCGGGATTGATGGAGTTCAGACCCAAACAAGGGATTTCAGTACTGTACACCAGTCAAAATACATGCTCGCTAACTGACAGAATTGCTTTCACCTTTGTTTATGAAACTCACCTTTTCTCATAATTTATTATGCATTGTGAAGTGAAGGTTTTCTCTGATTGATAAGTACCATATCTTCCAAACTTTGTAGTGATTTAGGCATTAAGCAAAGATTCCACACTCAGCTGACATTTAACATTTTAATTTGTTTATATTTTAAGTTAATAATGTGCTGTTACATTTAAAGAAAGCACTTAAAACCTTACCATATGAAATCCAATTCTATGACTACTTATTTAAGTAGCTGTGGGCATATCAAACTCAACGTGTTCCATCCAGGGGTGGGACTCAAATTTTTTAACAACCGGTTCTGTGGGCGTGGCTTAGTTGGTGGACATGGCTTGGTGGTCATGTGACTGGCTGGCCGTGGTCATCATTCACATCGAGGCATGCATCTCCTCGCCTGGCCTCTCATGATTGTGGGGATGCTGCAACAGTTGTAAGCATGAAAAATGGTTATAAGTCACTTTTTTCAGTGCCATTGTAACTTTGAATGGTCACTCCACACAAGCAAAGTACCAGCAAAGGAGAGGAAAAAAACTCCAGAGAAGTTCCTGAGACAGGAAGTCTAGTCCTGCCAAGAATGTAATAAGGGTTAATGGAGAGGCAGTTTCTGTAAGCAACACCAGAATGTTTCCTTCCTGCCTTCCTTACAGGATTAGGCCAGTAATTTCTTCTAACAACCGGTTCTCTGAACTGCTTAGAATGTTAACAACTGGTTCTAGCGAATAGGTGCGAACCTGTAGAATCCCACCCCTGGTTCCATCCTATTACATATGCAGAACTTCAGTTGAAAAAGGATGTCTTATACAAAGCAGAGAACTAAACTTTGACCAGTTTTCAAATTGCACGTACAGTTTGCCATTAATGTGTGTTTTAGATAATTTTATAAATTAAAATCTTCAATGCAGTATTAAATATCTGATTGTGTATAACACTCAGAGTTGGAAGGGACCTTATAGGTCATCTAATGACCCCCCCCAAGTGGGAGACCCTACACTATTTCTGACAAATGGCAGTCCAATCTCTTCTTGAAGGTCTCAAGTGATGACGCTCCCACAACTTCCGAGGGCAAGCTGTTCCATTGATTGATTGCTCTCACTGTCAGAAAGTTTCTCCTTATTTCTAGGTTAAATCTCTCCTTGTTCAGTTTCCATCCATTATTCCTTGTCTGGCCTACAGGCGCTTTAGAAAATAGCTTGACCCTTTTCTCTCTGTGGCAGACCCTAAATATTGGAAGACTGCTATCATGTCTCCCCTGGTCCTTCTCTTCACTAGAGTAGCAAAACCCAATTCCTATAACCGTTCTTCATATGCCTTAGTCTCCAGTCCCCTAATCATTCTGGTTGCTCTTCTCTGCACTCTTTCTAGAGTCTCAACATCTTTTTTATAACGTGGTAACCAAAAGTGGATGCAGTTCTCTAGGTGCGGTCTAAGGCTTTATAGAGTGGTATTAGTACCTCACTTGATCTCGATTGTATCCCTCTGTTAATGCAATTTAGGATTGCATTAGCTTTTTTGGCTGCTTGCTTGCTTGCTTGCTTGATTGATTGATTGATTGAATGAATGAATGAATAAATGAATGAATGAATGAATGAATGAATGAATGATGTCAGTGATCTGTAATTGCTTACTTTCCTACAGTATAGCCAGGACATTTTGTAATAAATATCATCCTCCTGCTTCATTGACAAGACTATAAAAATGTTGACTTTGGTTCCTCAGGGAAGAAATAACTCCTTTCCCAGTTTTGGGATGGCCAGGAATGCCTCAATCACAGACTATTTTGCAAAAAGCAAACATTGCACCACTGTACATTTCCAAAATCCACCCCCACTAACCCTTTGCTGGATGGAACCACTGATGGCATAGATATTCTCTGTGGGTGGCAATCCTGCATTACGTCTCCCTTTTTATAAGGCATTCAGTCATCTTCCTGAGGCAGAGTGGACAGTTGTGCATTGTACATCT